CTTCTCTGCCATTGCCTCTCATTGAACATCAGAGCTGAAACCATCTGCCCATGAAAATAGCTTGCCTGGTGCTGGGCACTTCATAGTATAGTTTCTTCAGTAAAGTTATTTGTTTCACCAATTATGTGGTTTTCAAGGTGATTCAGTATAAATGAGCTCTCTGGCTTCTTTTGGCTTTAATTACTAAGAACTTGTTGCTGCTGGTGAGCTGTGCTCCATCTGCTTTTGAGCAGGAAGCTCATTAATGTAAGTGCTGAGGGGGGTGAGGTGCAGGGCACTGGTATGAGAACAGGGATGTTCACACCCGTGTGCTCTGAAATGCAAACCTGCAAGTGGTAAATGTCTCCTGGGCTGTTGCAAAATTAAGCTTAAATACTGGGACTGATTTTCTTAATCCCTTGGTGCCTGTTTTACCTCGTCAAACTGAAGCACAGTTCACATTGGGTTGTTGGCTCACCCGGGAGGAAGGGAAATGATACAGCTTAATCTTTAAAATATGTCTTGGGAAAACAAATCTGACAGGTATGTCTTCCTATTGTAAACAGGATTTGGGATCTGGATTCTTGTGCAAATTGCCTTTGACTGTTGTTACTGAGCTAGTGTTTCCAAAAACCAGTAAATGATTTTTGTCCTTGTTATATTAATAACTCAGTCCTTTGACAGCTGTGATTATAATGGGGCCTGTAAAGGACCTTACAAAGGGACATCCCTATGAAAATAAAAACCCTTTTGACTGAGAAATAGGAAACCAAATTCTATTAGGCCCTAATTTTACCCAGTAATTAAAAATCCTTGGCATCCCCCATCCCCCCCATCTATTAACAGTATGGATGGCTCAAGTGCAACAGAGAATCTAAGCCTTGCTGCTAATTTTAGCCCAGTGCCAGGGGCTGTGTCCCTGTGTGGGTGAGTGCAGCGGGGCAAGGGATGTGACTCCATCTGCAATGATCTGCCCCACCAGGCCCTTTGGCTGGAGGAAGTCTCATGTCATGTTACTCTCTGGCTTTTGCAGCATCTTTGAATGCTCCTTTTGCAGGGCTTGGTGATCCTGGAAGTGATGAGGATAAGGAACCAGGCAGAGGATGAACTCAGGGTGCTGCCTGAGTGGAAGTTGCTGACTGCTGATGGAACTCTGGCTGCGTGGTTGGCTTGGAGAGCAGAAGTGCCAGTGTGAGAGGTGGGGGTTAATTGGCATGGGAGGAGAATCCCAGCAAGATTTTTTTATAAGCTTCTGGTGTAACCCTTCAGGAAGGAGCAAGACAAGCCAGTCCATTCACAGAAAAGCAGGAGCCAGAAGAGCAAAACAGAGAGAAGCTTGAAAATGGCCAAAGGGCCGGTGCACACGGTGGCTTCAGCAAGCTCATTGGCCACTGCCATTTAAAGTCCGATATTAGAAGTTAAAATGAGGTTCATGGGAGCTGCTGCAAAGCCTAGAAGTGCTGAGAAGGAACATGTGTCCAAAGGGCTGCCCCACTGTCCCTTAGAGAACACAGTGGCCCAAGAGCAGGTGTGGGAAAAGGCTGGCATGTGCCTGAAGCCACGTCTGATGGTACAGGGTTGGTGTATTTTGCATTCAACTATAAAATGTGCTAAAGAATTATCAACTTGGACACTTCCAACTACAGCAACATCCTCAGACTTTACCCTTGTCCTCTTGGGTGTGTGCAGGTCACCCAGCCTGTGAGTGGGAAGGGGAAAATACCCTTGGCAAGCCATCAGAAAGGTTACTGTTCTTTAATCTGGAGCTGTGACTTAACCAGCTTTTTTCTTTTCATTCATAAGATGAGGCGTAGGGATTACTGGTGCTATACATAGACTGCTCTTAGCTGTGTCCTGTTCTGCTGGGAACACTTAAGAGCTGTGTCAACCTCGGGGCCAGGGATCCTCTGTGCTGCTGGTCTGTGGTTGTTTGCCCTCTGTGTAGAGTTTCTCTGCTCAGTGGATCACTGGCAGGCCAAAAGAGGACAACTCTGAAGCTGTAAGCACTCAGAAGCTGGGTTTCCTCAGTAGGAAACCCATCAGAAGGGATGTATGAGTGGCTATTGCCATATATTGGAAGTCAAAATGCAACTCTGCATGGGTTTTTATCCAAACACAAGATTTTTTTGTGTGGGCCTTTTTTTAAGTGCATGTTTAGCTCATCATGGATTCAGCAGTGGTGTTGGATTGTGCACGTCCATGTGTGCGCATGGAGATAACAAGCCAAGGCATAATCCAGAATTCCTCTGCTTGATAGCCCCTTATCTCTGAGCATGTGCTGCGTGTGTTTTCTCTCTTGGTGGGTCCCCTCAGAGGTGCTGGCTTGTGTAAACACAGTTGTTTTTTTTAATGTTGAAGCTCTGGGAGGGTCCTGCTTTGTTGGCTCCTGAAACAGCGGGAGAGAAGCACCCAAAAGTGCTCCTGGCCAAGGACATCCAAACAAACCCTCCCTAGCTTGTCAAGGAAATAGCTCGTACTGGCAAATGGACATGTCTGGACTTTCTTTAGGATACTGTTGAAATTACAGCCTGCTCTACAGAACTCATTAACATTTTAATATTGGATACTTAGATTTCTAATTGGCAGGCAGCTCATCGTTAAGTGTGTGCATAAGGTACCCTGCAGTTACAGGTGTTGGTGTTCTGCTTTAGTGGTTCAGTTGCATTTGGCAACAAACTTTCTGTGTAAATGACTTAAAATCCTTTGGATTCCAGTGGATCAGAGCACAAGTGAGAAGTGTTAGCCTTGGTGAAACAGCTCAGCACTGGATACGTGACTTGACATTTTTTTAATCAAAACTAGCAGCCCCTGAAGTGATTCTGTGCTGCCTGATGGTGAAGCGTGGGTTGGCTGCATGAGAAGAGCACTCCCAACTAAATGTGTATCTGTGTGCATAAATATAAAAATAGGTGTAGACTACTGAAAAAGTGTTAAATTTTGCAGCATGCTTCAAGTACTGCAGGACCTAAGAACAAGTTTGGTAAATTAGTGGTAGGGAGGAACCCAGCAGGTCTCTGACCGCAGTGAGGGAGCCACGTTGCTATGAAACGTTGGCTTGAGCACACGAACTTTCAGGTGCTCTGACTGGGATAGTGAGACCTCTTTATGTACACTGTGTTTTGAGATTTGAGGGAGAGTGTCTTGCTTAACATCTGGGATTCCTTCAAGGTGACAGCTTCACTTGAGGACAGAAAGTATTATTTAGAAGCACAGCTAAAAATGCAGCTTCCTGTTGGCAGAGGGGGAATGAGTCATTGTGGTTTTGAGTTGAGGGGCAGGATCTTCACTGTCACGGCCTTGTACTTCCAGATATGCTCATACAGAGCAGTGGGTTCAGGTGTTTGTCACTTTTATCCCTGTTGCTGAGAAAAGGAGTTGGTGTTCAGAAGGTGTAATACTCCTGGTGGGTCTCCACCATCATGGTGAGAACATCCTTGTTGCCCCTGAGGGCAGTTGGACCTAAAGCACTGGGGACTTACTAGGGAAGGTCTGGCCATGGCTCTCCCAGTCCATCCAGTTACTTACACCAGCATCCTTTCACAGAACCACATGCTGGTTTTGTACCAGTGCCTGTTGTCACTGGTGTTGGCTGTGTTTGCTCACCTTACTTGGTGTCTTTGCATCCAGCCAGGTCTCTCCTAGGAAGGAGAAAGACTGGGGACATTACCAGCTGCCTTCATGCCAGGAGGTTGGAGACTGGTTTCCACATTTCACTAAGGGTTTTTTTTATTGCAGGTTAGATGTTAAAGATGACTGTCTGTATGCATTAGACTTCCCTCTGCAGTTCTCACTGGAAAGCATAATACTGATAATAATTTTAAAACAAACTTGCTGATGAAGGGCATTGAAGCTGTACCAGGAATGTTGTGTCACCCTTAATAACTGTTGATCTGTGGGTGGCAGTCTTCAGCAATACTGAAGGTGTTAGTCCTGTGGCAGGATTTACCTCTCTTCTGTTTACAGAAAGGGACACTAATTTTTCATCCTCCTACCTGAGTTGTGGTCTTTTTTTTCTCTTAAAGTCTTTTTTTTCTCTAGACACTATGCTTAAGAAAGCAGCCAGGTTTTGTTCATTCTCCGGAACTCTGGTGTTTCTCTTATGTAGCAACAAAACTGTGGTTTGGTTTCTTCCCCAGCTCAGGCTGGAGAGGATGAAAGGCAAGGTCAGTGGGACTAGCAGATTGTCAGGCTGTTTCAAAACATCAAGTGTTGGGCTTCAAGAGTAGAATTAAATCCCAAGTATCTTCTTTTTTTTTAATCTTCAATCAACTGAAGCTGTAAATGGCTTCATTGTAATCAGCAATTAATGAATCCCATTTTTGTCTTGCACCCTTTCTTTCTTGTTTTTCCCTGCACCACCCGAAGGTGCCATGCTTTTGCTTTGGTGCTGAATGTTAACTTCCAGGTATGAGAACCTGGCCTGGGTCTGTCTGGGCAGTTTGGCTGCTCGTGGCTGCCAGAGCTCTTATGCAGCTTAAAGTTGGAATTTTTTCCAGAGATCTTGTCAAACCAGAGTCCTGCAACTTTGGTCTCGTGTGCTGCACCTGTGCTGACTCCCATGGTGGTGTTGTCCATTAGTTGAGTTACTGTTTCACTTTGGAAGAAAACCTTGGACTTCAATGTTTGTAGCTTGTGCTAAAAATGCAGCATAATGTATGCTTAAACAAAAGCATAACAAAAATAAGGAATCTGGTAGTTGCAGTGTCAGTGTTTTGCTGCTGGCAGTTGAATCTGAGTGCATTGTTCCTAAGGAAATTGCAGCCATAGCTTCACAATTCATTTGTAAATGCTCTTGTTAATTAAGTTGGTATAAATACATACTTCAAGGGTTCTGGAGGGGGTGACAAGTTCTTGGCCTTTTTAGTAACTTGAAACTCTTAGTCAAGCACTCTTCCACCAGCAAGTAATAAATCCCAAACCCCTGCCATTGGTCCTAAGAGCTCATAGATCTGTTGCCATTCAGAAACTCGGAGGCCATGAACTAATACTGTTCACTCTTCGTGGTGTTGTACATTTTGCAGAAGGCGTTTTATCTCCCAGCGCTGCTCTCTAGACTTTTTAGAAGACATAGTGGAATATGCCAGTGTACGAAGGTACTTGTTTCCAAAGCAGCATTAATCTCGTTGCATGCAGTCCTGCCTCCCTCCACCCTCTTCCACGCCAATCTCTGAGGTCCTGCATGCTAGTGCTGCCATCTGATCATACAACTGGCATGACTGGTGGTTTGTGGGTTGTTTTTTTTCAAAGCACTTAACAGGTTTTGTTTTGCTTTGTGTGTTTGTTTGTTTGTTTCACAATTGCAGAGCCAAGCACATATCTGGGTCTCCACGACACAAAAGTTTGAAGAAGATGCACTTCATCAAGAACATGAGGCAGTATGACACCAAGAACAGCAGGTAACTTCTGGAGATCAAGGTGCCTCCTCTACACAGGTGGAATAGGATGTGCTCAGCAGCAGACTCTAGTTCAATGCAATTAGTCATTTAATGGCAGTGGGAATGAGGTGTTGTTCTTGGGGTCCTTGTAATTTTATACATAATTCTCTCAAAAGCAGTAGGTGCTCATATCTGCTGCCTCTGTAGCAATGTTCTGCTGGTTCTGTCATCCTGATTTAATCTGAGAAGGTTAAACACCTTCTTTTAACACCTTTCTTATCTCCAGCACACATTATCTGCTGCATCTGTAGCAATGTTCTGCTGGTTCTGTTATCCTGATTTAATCTGAGAAGGTTAAATCATTCTCTTTTAACACCTTTCTTATCTCCAGCACACAGGGAGCTTAGAGTTGGGGAGGATTTCAGGAGAATGGCTTGGGTTAGCCAAAATCTTGGCTCATAGTTGCTGGGCAGAAGAGAAAGGAGGCAGCCATGTTAATATTTATTGTTAATGGAGGTGTGAGACTCCCATCTACATGTAAAATATTATCTACACCTTTTCACAAAGTTTATGTAAAAATTACATAAATATGGATAATCTTTTAAAGACTAGGATCTCCTCTGAAGGACTCCCAAGGTGATGGCAGTTACAGAGCACTGGGGGTTGACACAGAACTTGGCTCTAAGGGCCTACAGAGTCAGAACGAAATGTCTGGTTTTGTGCTGCCTTCTGAAAACACAATCTGTAGCAGTATCTGTGTAACTTACAGAACAATTTAAGGGGAGCTTTGTGTTCAGGTTCCATAACAACCTGCTTTGTAATGTCTGAATCTTAATTGTTACCCTGATCTCTCCCATCTGCTCACAGGATAGTGTTAATCTGTGCTAAACGAACTCTGTGTGTGGCTTTTTCTATCCTACCTTACGGGGAGAGTTTACGGATCAGGTGAGTCACCTGTAACTGCTTTGTGAGGTGTCTGGTCTTGCACTGCCTGTCGCTTGCAAAAGATCTTTTTAAATTAGCATGATTTGTCTAGGTCTCCTGCTTTGAAGCGGGTGAACTTACTAACTTTACCATTAATGTGTAAGGGCAATAACTTGCTATAAGAGCAGTAAAATCAGATGTGGCCACAGTGTCATAGAATTCATTCCAACTCCAAGAGAAAAATAGTGGAAAAGGTAGACTTTTCTACAGCTGTTTAGTCACATTTTAAAGCACTCCAGTCCTGGTGATGATGTGATTTGTTGCCGTGTAGCATTTCCCATGCTGCTAAAGGGCTCAGAAATCAATTGCCTTCAGTGCAACAAGCAATTGTGTTGGAAAAAAAAACCCATACAGAGCATCAGGGAAGGATGCTAGTGCCTTAACTGGAAACCTTCACAGTTTTATAGTGAAGTTACATCTAAGTAAGTTTCAGATGCTCTTTTGTATCTTCAGCTCTAAGCTGTGAATGTCACTATTTGCAGTCTGAAAAAAACAGAAAAAGTTTAGACTGATTGAAACTGCATTTAGTGTTTGTCCTACACCTTTGATAGAACTGTCAGTACGATCTCTTGTGAGAAACCAACCCAGCAACCCAACCAACCCAGGATTTCCCTCCAGCTTTGCACAGTCCCTTGTGAAGTCTGAGTTGATTCTGTGAAGGTCTGTGATCTACAAGTGGACCACAGAAAATACTAATTTTGTTCTCACCCACTTTTGGCAAAACAATAGTGTTGTCACTTCTGTCCTGCACATAACTTATGGACAAAGGAAACGGATGTTTAGGGGTGGGAGTTGCATTGTATGCAAATGCACTTGCTGTAAAAATAGTTGATGGGAAAAATATTCTCACACTTGATAGAAAAGCAGTGAGGTCACTGCAGCTATTTTAGAGCAATTGTGAGCACTGGGTCATGCTGCTTGTCTGCAAGCTGGCAGTGCAGCTCTTTAACTGAAAACTGCTTTTGTGCATTGGAATATGGGTGCCAAAGCTGCATGCTGCCATCACTGAAGCAGGATTCTGCTGGCAGCCTTAATTCTTCATTTCAGTTTGCATGCAGTGCTTGGAAAATTGCATTTGAAAGGCAAGTCTCTAATCCTGGAAAGCTAGTAATATAAGTGATGTTTGCTGGCAAGTGTTTGAGCATTAATGTGTTCATTAATGGTATGGTCTCATGCAGAAAGACTATATTTGAAAAAAAAGTTTACATTTGATATGTGTAGTTACAGATTTGAGTTAAAATTGAGATATGATTCTTCAGTTAATGAACATTTCTGCGTTTTAATAAGAGTACTTAAAAATTGATGCTTTCTTGGAGATGGGGTGGAGGGATTGTACTGTTCACGCAGAACTCTGACCTGGTGGTGTTGACTGGAGCTGCTGGAGGAACCTGGTCTTCACCACAGAGAAAGTTGGGGTTATACTGCATTTTCCAACCGTGCATTTTCTATCTACATGTAGTGATCTAAAGATGGAAGGACAGAAGCAGCGACATCCTTCTGGGGGAGTTTCAGTCTCCACTGAGATGGTGCTTGGACTGGAAGGAGTAGAGCTGGGTGCTGATGGCAAGGTAAGGCATGTTCTTCCTTAGTCTCTTGATCTCTAATGCCAATGGCCAAACTATTGCCTGGAGCTAGTAGGTGCTTTATCCTGGGACCATTTCATGAGCTGAGGCAAATGCCTTTCTGGATGGCAAAGCACTGCTGCATACGTTGAGAACTGTAACTCTCCATCATGGAAGTTCATTTGGATCATAAAAGCTTTAAGTGTGTTTGGTTTGTGATAAAGCTGCTTTTGAGGAGGCTGTTGAAGCTTGTGACTGGTTCTGCCTCTGTTTTTGGAGAATCTGGTATCTCAGGCAAGATGTGAGTGATGTTTTGATAGAAACGTGGGCGAAATGTATACCTCTTTAGTTAAATTTATATACTGACAGATTTTGCTGATGTGATTCTCCCCTTTTCTTTGCCACTCCACCAAGCCTTCTCCAACACTTCCATACTGAAGCTATGGAAACAAGGCATTCCTCGTCCAAGTTTGTCCCACAAATTCAAGGTCCTCACTCCCAAATACAAACTCCAGGGGACTCAGACTTGGAAAATCCTAGATGTCCGGAAATAACCTGTTCAATAAATTCTGCCCTTCAACTCTCTCTTTGTTTTAAGGTTGTGTCCTATGCAAATTTCCTGTACCCAACAAACGCCCTGGTTGTTCGCAAAGCCGACAGCTACGTTGCTGTTCCCTCCTGCCGAGCTACTGCTTCCCGGAGTCTTCCTGGATCCAGATACAAACCTGTGACAGCAAAAACGATACCAGCAGGAACAGAGATGGGTAAGAACAGCCACCAGCCTTGTCACCACTTGTGCACGCAGCAGAAAAGCATAAAAGGAATATATTTGCCTGAAACTATTGCAAGTGGTGGAGTGCGTTGTTAGGCAGGATGAGCTGCAGCTGGAAAGAGAGGAGGAGACTGTTTTTAGCACAGCCTAGCAAAGAAGGCTCCTTAATGAAGTAGAAATGATGAGCCTTTAGATGGAGAGTTGCACACATTCCTTATGTCCTCTGTAAATCTAGTTCTGTTTATGCAATTCCCAGGAGTGCAGAGCCATTTCCTTGGAAATGTGAAGTTTTTTTGCTACTCAACAAGAAACATCTGGTGTAGATGTGTTCGGGTGGTCGTCCTTGCCTTCCAGCACAGCAACAGTGCAGAAGCCAAACAGCCTGTGACAAGAAATCCCTTCATCTGTGTAAAAGAGCAAACCTTACAGCTCAGCTACCTGTTAGGTTGGGCTATAGGCAAAAGAACACACTCTGCTGCAGTTGCTTTCTGCCCATATCTGTGGATGACAAACTTAGTTTGCACTAAGTCTAAAATGGCTCATCAGGCACATCCTGGAGAAGGAGCTTCTGTGGTTTTATAATAACTATAATACCTGACTGGTGCATTTATGAAATGCAAACAGGTGACTGTACAGTGGACTCTGCCAACACTTTTCATGTTTGCTGCTTGAAAGCTTTTTTAAAGAGAAAACAGGGGATTTAAAGCTCTGTATCTTGTGACCCAATGTGCTTTCCTTGTTCCCTCAGGAAGTGAAGCTGGAGAAGCTACAGAGTATGATCCAAATATTCTGGATGATCCTCAGTGGCCCTGTGGAAAACACAAACGTGTTCTCATCTTTGCCTCTTACATGGTGAGTGCCTGGCACAGCTGAACAGAGGAGTGAGTGAGTACCTGGGAGATCCTCCTATAAAGAACTTCCCTGAAAACTTCCTCTAGGAAAAACAGCTGTGGATTTTTGAGAATTGTTTAGGAAAAATACAAATAGTTGGGTTTATGCACTCAACTTCTTGAGGACCTGCCTGACATGTATCTCCATCTTGTCACTTGCTTCTTGTAACCATTTGCTTTTGGATGAGATTCAACGTGGTCTGTTACTTAGGACACTATAGAGGTATTAAATCAAGAAGAGTAAAACTGGGGTTTGCCTTTGCATTAGTGTCTTTGCAAGACTTGTTTGGCTGTCAGTCCTACTCAAAGAATAAATTATTCATTTTGCCTTTTGATTTTCAGACTACAGTCATAGAGTATGTGAAACCCTCGGACCTTAAAAAGGATATGAATGAAACCTTTAGAGAGAAGTTTCCTCATATCAAGTTGACACTGAGCAAAATTAGGAGGTAAGAAACAAGCACTGGCTAATGAGAACATTTACACTCTACAAGGATGCTTTTATCTTCCACTTGTATGGAGCAAATACTAGATCTATTAATAGTATAAATGATTAAACACTAATCTCTTGTTGCCAGTTGAGCTGACTGTAGGATGGCAGTGCTGTACAGGAATTTTTAGGATGCTGAGAAAGGGTGACAGTTGTTTTTTATAGGTCAGCCTAAAAGGGTTTTGTTTCACCATCTGTGGTGTCCTGATGCTCATTGCCAATTAACAGAGAAGTAGGATTAACCTTGAAACAAATACTTGTAACCTGATTGTTCAGCTGTAGGGCAGTCCTACTCTAACTGGATTGTCTTTCTGGACCCTTTGGCTATTTCTACCTTTCAATTACCAGATTCACTGATGACCACGGACTGCAACAGGATCCTAGGATACAGAAGAGTGTTAGGTTTGGGGATGTCAGTAAAGAAAAGCATTTTACAAAGACAGGACTGTGCCACATGGAATTCCTCATCTTCCAGGAAATGCTTCTGGCCACTCACCAGTGAGATGCTTTGTTGTGGCTTTTGAGAGCTCTAATCTTGCTGGTGTTCCAGGGCAATTAATGCCGGCAGAGCCTGCTGAAATAGCTTAGATCTGATTCTGCTGAATCACCAGGGCTACCTGTAGCTCAGCTCCAAGTGGAAGGCTTGCTTAGGCAGTATGTCCTGCTGGTGTCCTCCATACACATCTTGTTGCTGTTCTGAGTAGGGTGTTAGCACAGAGATCTTGCAGATGCAGCACAGCAGCCATGAGAGGCAGCACCCACCATAAGGTCTGCCCTAATGCTGAAGTGAATGTCTGGCCCTTGTGGGCAGGGGGCAATTCAGTCTGCCTTCCCCTTTAGACCTGGCTCCTCCACGAGGTGCGTGGCAGGCAGGTCTCCATGCAGCAGCTGCTGGGATCTGCACATCTTTGAGGGGCTGTTCTCTAGGTCAGGGTGGTTCAGTCTTACAATATGACTCACAAACCAGTTTGGGAGCCCAGAGGCAACCGTACTGCAATAGCCTGTGTGTCAGTGAGGCATCTAAGCCCCTGGTGTTTATGGGCAGATGAGGATCTGTTCTTCCACAGCAGATGTTGTCAGCCAGGTTAAATCAGTTTGTGCATCAGCTCCAGCTTGCTGCCAGCTGGGCTTTTCCAGTCTAGGATAATAATTGTCATGGTTTTCCAAGTAGGAATCTTGCCCATATGCTCTCTCAAGCTCCTGTGCTGCAGTGTTTCTAGAGCATTTCATAAAAGCTGTCATGTCTGAGAGGGTTTTTCTCTCCCTATTCCCAGCTTGAAGAGAGAGATGCGGAACCTGAGCGAGGAGTGCAGCCTGGAGCCCGTCACTGTCTCCATGGCTTATGTTTACTTTGAGAAGCTTGTCCTCCAAGGCAAACTCAACAAACAGAACCGCAAACTGTGCGCTGGTGCTTGTGTTCTGCTTGCAGCCAAGATCAGCAGTGATCTCAGGAAACATGAAGTGAAACACCTTATCGATGTGAGTACTGAGACTTGTTCCAGGTGTTGCCAAAACCCTCCATTTCACAGACCAGCAGAAAGCCCAGATTTCCAGCAGTGCATGTTTGCATTCATGACCAGCTCTTTCAGTCCATTTTATGTCTCATTAGGGCTCTTCTTTGATGTGTTTGTGTTTTGATGTTTGTTTTTTTTTTAATTCATTAAAACCGCCTGACTGGTGCAGTCTAATGTCCTTCTGATCCTACAATGAGGTTATTTTTGCACTTAGTGTCTCTCAGGCAAACGTGTAACCCGTGTGGGTGTCAGAGCTGAGCTGATAAGCTGGTTTACTTGGCTGATCCTGTGCAACACTTTCGATTCTGTAGGTTCAGCTCTGGCTGTGCATCACTGGCTCCTGCTTCATTGCTGCCCTGATCTAACACTGCGTTGGTGTCCTGGGGATTAACTGGTTCTGTTTCTTCCCCTCTTTTTTTTTTTCTTTTTTTTTTTGCTACTATCACAGAAACTAGAAGAGAGATTCAGATTCAACAGAAGAGATCTGATTGGTTTTGAATTCACCGTCCTTGTAGCTTTGGAACTGGCTCTTTATCTTCCTGAAAACCAAGTGTTACCTCATTACAGACGACTCACACAACAGTCCTAACCCCAGCTGGGCTCCAGCTGGCAGCCAGTGGGCCTGGGGATCCCAGCCCTGGAATCTGCTGGGGAAGTTGCCACTGGCAACTGGATCCTGCCATGGCTACAGCTAGTCCTGGAGTCTGCAGCATGTTCCTGAACTCTGGAGGTGTGCACTATGGATGCCCAGTCTGGGGATGGTACGAGGAGAGTTACTGAACTTTCTTTTCTTTTGGACATTTAAAGCACAAACACTCACCAGTCAGCTGTCCTGGCTGCTTATTAGTCCTTATTTATCCTTTCAGTTTTACTAAAACTGTTCTTCCCTATGAAGAATACTATGGTATTGTTTGTTTATTATTTTTTTTAAGCCTTTATTGTATTCCTTGAAACTAAAGGAAGCATCACTTCCATTCCAGTGCGCCATAAAGTCCAAATGTTTCTAAGAATCTTCTTGCATTTTTACATTAATGAAATGCATACTTTATTTTTTTAAAGATGTGCCTAAAACTGGCTGGTCTGGTACCAGTGCTTTTTAAGTTAGTTATGTTATTTAGTGAGAATTCCTGAATTTGGATAGCCATTTATCCTTTACCTGCATTGGCCTTGCATATAAGGAAAACAATTCCAGTCTATCTGCACTAATGGTACACAGGGCATCTGTCTATACTATAGATCTGTAAGTAGCAAGATTGAGATTTTGCTGTTCCAGTTTAGTTAAACACAAATACCTTAAGAATATACATTTTATTTAAAAAAGAAAAAATTGAAAATCTGTCATTAAATACCACGTGTTGGATGAGGTAGCAAGAGCAAAGTGGTTTCCATCCTCATTCCCTCTTTAGTGGAAGATGAGCTCTTGACTAAGAGCAGTTTGCTGCCAAATGTATCATTTCTGACTTTTGTTTGCCTGAAAGAAGCACCTTCCTAGTAGGACTGGGTTATAGATGATCTCACGTGCCCTGAGCACACACTTGTCAGTACAGCTGCTGCTGCCAAACCAAGCCAATGACACAAAGCCTGCTCAATGTTGAAAATGCTACTTTTTGATTCTGTTCTTCCAAACATTGCATCACTGTGATGGTCCTCATGAAACTGGCATTTCTTGCACACCTGAGCAGCCCCTGCCCAGCAGCGCCCGAGCTCACCCCGAGGTGAAATCACTTCTCTGACCATTGGCTGTTCCTTGATTTATTGTTCAAATGTCCAGGTTGGGAATGAATTCTTTGTGGTGGAACCTTCTGTGATACTGGCTCTTGGGTTGATTTGCTGAAGCAATATTATGATACAAGTAACTGTCCATTTGCAAGGAACAAAGCTGATGCTTGGCTGTTCCCACTGGGAAATGTCCTTTGAGTTTGACTCCTAGATGAAACACCAGGCCTTGTTCTGAGGTGAGGGACCTGCTCTCTAATATGTAAAGTAATGTAAATTCTTGTTCCTTGTCTTAAATGTTGGTTGTAGGCAAAACCAAAGCTGAGTCATTGCTCTTCAGCTCTGTTTTGTCTGAAACTCATTTGGGTTCATTAGAATTGCAGTAAACTTTACTGGAGCCCTTTCCCCTTTAGGGATCAAAATGTATTTTTCATATATAATAATTACAATTACTATCAAATCCTTTGTAACTGTGTTCAACTGTATGTAGCTTCAAGTTATTTGTGTGAAATTTAATATGCTTGTGACTTCTCTCTAACACAGAAGGACTTTGCAGTCTCCAAAAGTGAAATGGTGGCTTGTAAGTTAGACAATAGGCTTGCCAGTTATCTTCCAAAAGGTTTAAAAAACTGCCTACTAGTTAGACTTTCTACTGAATATAACTGTCCTTGCATGCAAGAAGTAGTGTTGTACTAAACATCTAGCATATAACGAGCCTACAACTTAGCAAACAGTGCTGAAGACAACTGAAGTGGTTTTCCACTTCCTAACCTCATTAGAGGAGGGGAAAGAGGGAGAACTGAGCACAGAAAGTTCTCACACTTTTATCTCCAGAACTAGTAAAACACTTCAGTGAGTGTGAATTAAATCAGAAAATATCTTTCTCTGGGAACTTCTTTGTTCAGTGTATAAAGAGTTTTCTGTAACAAAATTAACCTTCCTTTCAAACCATCTGAGGACAAAAACACCACTCTTTTGTTTGCAACACTTTGCAGTCTCTATTCAGTGGAAGTGGGTCTCCTTGCAGTTGAGTTCCACTCCCAGGAGCTCTGGTTTCACCTCATAAACCAGCAAGCTTTTGTTTTCTCTCTCAGAAGAACAGATTTGGATAAGGAGCATGAAATTACAGAATGCCCAGTGTCATTTCAGGGTAACTCTAAACCTTGCCTGGGGTGCAGGCAGTGTTCTTGAGCTCCAAAGCTGGAGCACAGGCCAAAAAGGCTGGGGTGAAACACACTCTGTCTCTGGCAGAGCCGCTGCTGCCCCGAGGAGCGTGTGTGCAGTTTGTCCTTCTGTCCTGCTGCCTGTGCAGACACACGGTCCTTCTGCAGAGATGTGACTTGTCTGCCTGTGTCTGTCGATTTCTCTCTCCCTGGAGCAGAGCTTGCAGTCAGTCCTGGGTGGGAATATTTCTCTTTTCACCTAAAAGCTGCCACCATGTGGCAAAGGACTATTATTACTACATTGTCCATCGATAAACTGAGCGTGGGACCCAGAACAATACATGGACCTGCCGGCTTTGTGTTTTGTTTTGTTTTTCTCCCCTGGCTTGGCTCACAAGGGCAGGTGTGCACAGATGTAGCTGGGCCGCCGTTTATTTAAAGAACAGTTACCTTCTTGTCTTACTCCATTATTTAAAAGCTGAGTTGTACCCTGTTCCTTTTTTTTTTTT